AAAGCTATTCGTGCTACAATCCGAGAAACTCCTCCACGACCCATTAGGTAAAAACTCCAAACGCTTGCTCAAGAAATGATATAAAACCAACATCTCAAACACAAAAAAGCAATGAAACTGGATGATTTTTAACCTCGTTCCAATCTAATTACCTTTGCAGAAAATCGACATCTCAGACTCCACCTCCACGTCAACCACCTCAACGATCAGCAACCTTTTCGTTTACCTCCAACACTCCAAAGAATGAACAAGGTAAAACCGCAATCGATAGCTCTGTCTTTTCCTTGAATAACAATGGAAATAGCCGATCTTTCTTTACATTTTTGTGTGTGATATAATCAGCTAAAAGATCGGCTTCACCAAACCGGTTTCCGCTACTAAGATCGGGATCATTCGTTACGCGGAAGTCAACATCAATCAGCCGGCCAACGACACCAAGCAAGAGCAGAGCTATAACTCCTATACGGGTATAAAAACTTCGATCCGAACACAACTCTACCAAAAAGCGTTTGTTTCATCATCTCTTCTTGATTCTTCTTTTGCATTTTTCAGTATCCATCAGAACCAAGAAGATCGGCTTCGGTTCGGGTCGCGTTCGAGAAAGAAAACCAGAAAGAAACAGAGCAGCAACAACCGAGCAAGAGCAAACGACTGCTCAAGGCTTTGCTTAGTCGACGGAAAACCAAGAAAGACGAAAATCTCTACACTTTCTTGGACGAATATTGAAGGACAATATCGGTTTATCTGTCGAACCGGTTTACATAACCGGAAAATTTTCAATATCCAACTTTTCTTTATCTATTTAATATAGAGGAAAAGTATCTATTTCTCATGTTATATTATATTGTCACGAAAATCGATTATGTAAACTGAACTATACTATTAAAATTAAATGTGAATGCGATTTTTACAAATTTATTGAATTAGAAGTTTCAAAACCAAATTGGTCAATAGATCAAATTTATGGAATCACAGGTTTACTATATTGCTGATTAACCAAAAAAATCATTAATGAAAACAATTTGACCACTTCTTTGACAATATAATTATATTTTAGTTAGATAATCAAAACCAACTAATGATAACATTTTGTTTACTTAAGTCATTATAAATTTGACATCACATATCAATGATAAAGATGAATGGTCCAGTATAGAGTCATATTACATATTTTTTGTTTCATCAGAACTAGTTCTTCTGTCTCGGAGGCTGTCCAGGTATTTCCGGGTCGTGTCTTGGATTTGGGCCTGGTTCCTGATAATCCATGATCCCCACAATAGTCTCTTCAACCTGTATAACATATGATTTTGCTTCACCATGTTTTTGTAATTCTTCAAAACAATTATTATTATATGTTGATTTTTTAAATTTAAACTGACTGGCAACTTTTATTGTTTGACTGATTAATTTCTTTTTTTTTTGGGACAAAACTAATTAAATTATTAAAAATGAAAATTCAGGAGAAAACACAATATGAAAAAAAACAAGCATTTTGTTTTATGAGATTGCTTTACCTTGTTTATGGAATATTGCTCGGTATGAGCAATTCCATGGTTCTGCTCAAACCCTAATAAACAAATATGCAATTTCAGGTAAACAGTTTTTTTTTTTTTTTAAATATTTATATAGGGATCAACCATATTATGATATTAGACGTCTGAAATCCGCAATAATCAGACTAGATCTCCGGTATTAGTAAAACTTTTTACAAATCAAATAATAATTTTTACACCTCCGTAACATCATCATGCAATGTAATCTTTCATTTACCAAGATGTTTTGAAAGAATTTTTATCTGAAAATTTGATTACCTGAAGAACACAATGGAAGCAGGAGCAAGATCGATATGAGAACCACCGACTTCATTTGCAAAAGCATTTCTCCGATAACACAAGAGGATTAATTAATTTTGTTGTTGTTTGGAAACTAACCAATGCTTCTATATATATATATACATCTTCTTATGCATTTATGCGTTATGTATCTTTTTGTGCATGCATCAAATTATCAATTAGTTTCCAAAATTTTTTAAATCGTATTTAGAAAAAAATAAAAATAAAATAAAGAAATTTGAATGTCTCTAAACTGTATTTTGATTAAAAACTTATGAATAGTTTTTTGGAACGTAGACTCACATCCTCAATGAATAGATATTCTTTGAGTCTCTAAAATATAATATTTTAATAATTTTTTTTATTTATTTAAATTTTAAATCATCAAAATTTGTTTTTTCTATAAGAACCTCATCTTATTCTCTCTCATACTTTTAATTATTTTTATATTTTTTAAATGGTTAGAAACTCCCAATGAAACATATTTTGATTATTCTCTCTCATACTTTTATGTATTTTCTCTCATACTTTTTAAAATATAATTATTCGATCTCATACTTTTTAATTATTTTATATATTTTTTAATTAATATAGGATTTTGAAAGGTTAAATACATGAAACATATTTTAATCTGCTCTACAAATGACACCCAATATTTTTTTTCTTTTTAATATTCTTTTTCTATATATTCAGTTAATATATATAAGACAAGATAGTCAAAAGTTGATTTGTTTACTTAAACCAAAACTATCAAAGTTGAATACAAAGTTACTGAACGTTAACAAACTATAATTGAGAATATTTTTAATTATTTGATATAGAAGAAATGCATTTATAGTATTTAAGTAATTCAAAAACTAGTAAATTCTGTAACGAAATATTAACATGTATAGATAGTACTAATATAATTATTATAGGTTTACAATGCAATAATCTTACACGTTTCATGTTGTCCATAATCATCTACCCTATGGAAATCGACATCGTTGACCAAAAGAGAAAAAGATATCAACTCCCTAATAATAAAATTATTCTCTGATTTAAGGAATGCGAATAATTTCTTCAGTAAATTAGCAAACTAACCAAAAATTATACAAATTGACAAACTAACTAAAATTGTGGGATTCTTTTAGAAAACAATAGGTTGTTTTTTTTTTCTTTGGTTACTTCTCCAATATCGTAAGTTTTTTTGGATATTGAGTGCAAATTCTCTAATTTCTTTAATTTTTTATAATGTGTTTTTTAGTATTATGGATTTTGTGCGGATTTATAAGAAGTGTCATGCTACTCGACTACACGTAAAAATAAAAACTGAAAAACTAAACTCACAATCATTCGAATCGACAAAATAACTTATAAAGCAAAAATATTCGGTAATACAATTTGCTAATTCTCTAGATTTTTTATAACCGCTAATCTCCTGGTTGCTTGGATGGATGTATTATAGAGCCACATATCCTAGTTTTGGATTCGAATTTTTTTTGTGGGTTTTACCTTTCCTTCTAATAGTAGAGCCTTACTAGACCTTGTTGGTTGAACCATAGCCAAAATGGTTCTACTTCTGACCTCATGATGATTTTATGCTGACTCTTGCTTCAATTAAACAACATTGTATTCTCTTTTTTTTGTCGAAATTCTGATTTATATCATTAAATCGGTATTTAACCGGACATGTTTGTTACATCAACGAGAGAGGATTTTGCGATTCGATCTGCCTCCTCATTTTTCGATCTAGGCACAAAAGCAAAATTCACATCGAAGTTCTTAGCAGATTGGATGATATCGTGTATAATCCCATAGATTTCAGTATGGAAGGTGCCTGATTTGATGAGGGTAATGAGCTGTTGGGAATCTAAGATCATTGTGAACTTGGTGAAGCTTCGTTTTGTTGCCTGATCGAGAGCTTCTCGCATCGCCATGGCCTCAGCCATATGGGGTGACCCGATCTAGTTCTCGGTTCTAGATCCTTCCGCAATTGGCCGGTTTCGTTCGTCTTTGAAGATCCATCCAAAGCCTGCAATTTTCAGATCTGCTTTCCATGAGGCATCCGAGTAGCATCGAAGACCAGACTCAATGGTGGTGGATTCAAGGTTTATCATATTCCAAGGCGTCATGTAATGCTTTTGTCATTGTTTCCATAGTGGAGAAGGATCGATTTTGGAATATCTTTTGATTACTGGATATCCAAATCGACCAAGCCACCCAGGGGAAGAGTGGTCCATCGCTTACACCTGTTGGAGGGAGGCATATCTGTTGATTTGCTTGGAGGAGTCCTGCTTGGAAATTTGGTATATTCTCCGAGGAAACATGATCCTTGAATGGTGCTAGGCTCCATACCTCCTTTGCAAAAGCGCAATGTAATAGAAGGTGATCAATAGTCTCTAGCTCTCCGCAGCGGGTGCATTGTGCTGTTGCCAGGACTCCTCTTGTTGCAAGTTGAGCACCGACTGGTAATGCCCCTTTGATTGCTTTCCAAAGAAACAACTTCAATTTGTTTGAGGTTTTTACATTCCAAATGCCTGATGTCTAGTTGAAATTCTGTAAAACAGCTTGATTCTGTGGATCCGAGGTTGCTTCTCTTGCCACATGGTAGCTTGATTTGGTTGTGTAAACTCCAGAGGCATCTCCAAGCCATACCAGCTTTATCTGGTGTTTCTCCAGAGCTCGGTTTAATGGCCATGATATTACTTTCCAGGTTAGGGAGCAATGTGTTTATCTTTTGCGTATCCCACTTTCCTGAATTAGGCAGCAGTAGCTCATAAACTAACATATTGTCTGTGTTCTTAGTAGGTGGGCCAAAAGGTTGGACTGGAGA